GGAGTTGAAGTCCACCCATCTTAAAGTTGCCAAGGTTGAGAAATGCTCCTCTACACTAACCTGGTTCTCCTACAATGTCAAGGCTCAAAGTATTTTAGTTTCTACAACTCCTACAGGATTCTTTTGCTGTGCTTTTCCTGTCTGAAAGTCTTCTTTCCACTCCGTGTCATTCTGGGCTTCACACCTTCGTGGATATCCAAAGCAGATCCACCCTAAACACATATACTGTATACTCTTGATATGGCATGAAAGCCAAATGCGAAACGAGTCCCTGGATCTGACATTGGAAACACAGCCCCTTTCAGGTGTCCTTGAGGACTAGCCGTTGAAGACTAGGAAGAAAACAAATCACTTAACACACGGGCTGGCACTAAATTATTAAAGATTTTAGGAATACAAGCTGTGCCCGTATTTGCTTACCTGCCCACAGGCGATTTCTGTTCCTCTGAACAATTAACAGGTGTGATTTTTCTCCCTGCATCCAGAGCTGATTTTACTACACTACACTTTACTACTATAGTCAGAAGAGGTAAAAAGGAAATAAAAGACACAACTTTGAGCAAATGGACACGGGGGCTGAGATGGGGGGGGCAATCAGCTGGTATCTCCCACCTGCTCTGAGTTTCCCTTCCAAAAGTCCTGTTCAAATTCTGCTCTCAAACTCAAGAAAAAGCTTTAGGGGGGAAACGAATGTCTCTCACTCCCTTCAATCAGCTTTCTTCAACTGATGATCTCCAGCGGGGTGCTGATCTTTAACTTCCATACTTCCCAGCCAGGCTGAGGAGGACTCACTCTGGTTCAGGGTGTGAATGATGGACCATATTCTGCACTACACGAGTGATCACCGAATGGCAACTTGAAATAGCTGCCAGCCTTTCGAGGTAGTACCAGTTAAGTAACAGAGGCAGCACGGAGTCCAAGAATGTTCTTTACTGTAGAGAGATAGAACAACAGCATCCTGAGAGCCTATTCAGGTTTCTCTCTGCCCCATCTTACACTAAACAAAATCAAGGCAAGATTATGTTGAGTTTCTGTCTCACAGTTTCCTCTTTCTCGGAGCAGCGTAATCACTTCTGCAATTCTCCCCTTAATGATTCACTCCTTCCTTCCCCAAGGTCAGTTCTGCATGCCTTTATACCATCTGCCACCGTAGATAACCATGGTTCCCCTTACTTATAACTGGCCCAACCCAAGTACTGCTTACTGGGCTGTTCTGGGAAGTCCAAACAATATTCAAAAGCCTCGTGCGTTGGACTGACTTGAAAAAGCTCTTCCTGAGGTTTGCTCTGGTGCTCTCCTTTGTATTCCTCAGGACTGCCACCCATTTTTATTTAGAAAATTTCTGCCACACCCTGAGCCAGTCTCAAGGTCACTTGCAACAACACAACCCTACCATGAATGTGATTCAGAAGAAAAACATGAACAGATGCATCAATAAACAAGGGATGAGATAAGGCTGCAGTTACCAGATTCGGACTGCAATCGCTGGATGGCAACAAAGAGTCAGAATGGTCTGCATCTCTTTGCTGCCATCTAATGGCCATTCATATTTCTGCAGTCCAGCTCTGGTAGCCCTAGTAAAATGGGGAGACTGAAGGCCATTAAAAGATCCTTTATGTCATCAAGAACCTGAGAACGTGCAACGGGCACGTTTCTTCGTTTCTTAGCCAGCCAGGCAAATGTATCTGGAGAAAAGAGAGGACATAAAAAGTATAGTTGGCCTTTTTTTTTTCTGTTGAAGTGGTTCATCTTTGCAGGACTTCCCCCCCACCCCCATTAGAATTGGGCCACCCTTTTAACTGATCCAGTGAAAGAGGCATTTCTAAGCTGAGGAGATCTAGCCCTGAAAAACGGCTGTGCCAGATCAACCTGATTTCTTAATAGCAAGGGTGACGCATGAAACTAAGCCAAAATGGGATTATTGGTCCTGTTTTATAGCAGTTGTAGCTATAAATTGCCTCTGGCAGAGAAGTGGCTGGTCTGGAGGCGAGTGGAGCCAAAAAGCGAGACGCTGAGAGACAGGGAAGGAAAGCAGCTTGCGAGAAGCATTGCAGGTCTGCGGCCAGGTCACGTCAGGATACTCAGGCGGTGGTTAAGCCTGAGGGAGGAGCAAGAAGATGCTGGAAGATGCTCCAAACGCTTGTGTCTCGTGGGTCAGGAAGCACGTTGTGGAGATTCAGGATGCCAAAGGCAAGGCAAGGGGTTCGAACGCAAACAGCAAAGGGAGCCGGGAGGAAACTTCTTGAATCTGTTGGGCACCGCAAGGTTGGTCAGCCAGACCAATCCTGGTTCTGGCAGCTCCTAGCCACAGGAGAAGACACAGGTTCTCACAGCTCCTGATCTCCAGATGTTCCTGTTCCTGGGGAAGTGTTTGCCACCACCTCCTCCCCCCTCCCCAGGTCCTGGTTCTGCAGGTGTAAAAGAATTCAGAACTGACCTTGGAGAAGGTATGAGCGAGCCATTAAGGAGAGACTTGGGTAAGAGATTAAACAGTCCTGAGATAGAAGGAAGGGTGAGAAAGAAACTCAAAGTTGCCTCGATTTTGCTTAATATAAGGTGGGTCAGAGGGGAATTTGGACAGGCTTTCAAGATTCTGGTACTCGACCCTACAACAATAAGGTTGCATTCCTGGAGTCCCCACAGTGTCTGATTCTTGACCTGGTGCATCTCAAAAGGCTGACAGTTGGGGCATCACCTCCTCCCTCTCATCAGAAGACCGTTTGGATGCAGTCCTGACATTCCCTTGGTTTTAGCTTAGCAAGTTCCCCAAAACAAAGCCATGGTTCATGGTAGCCTTTTCCAAGCTGTTATACTCCATTTGGAGAATTCTGGGAATGGTGATGCCAACCCCTTTGGAGGACTCCAGCCTGGGGAATATTGTACGGTTTAGGATACAGTCACAGCATGAACCCAGACTCAGGTCCATTCAGTGAACTCTAGTTAAGCGAAGGGTGGCTTAGCATGCAATGTAAACAGAGCTATTGAAAAGTGATTTGTATTGTTTTTTTCCCTTCTCCCCCTCCCCCCGCTCACAACATTCACAACATCTCACACAAGAAGACTCTTGGAAACACTGAGCTCTTTCCCTTGACATTTTGTTCAAAGATTTTATCAGTGCCAAGCTCATCCCAAAGGGAAGCAAAAGGAAACCCAGCAGTCTAGTAAGTGAACGTTGAGATACTGGCCTGAAGGTGGAGTCAGACAGGATCTAGTGGGAGATGCTGATCTAGTGGAAAATGTCATAAACCAATGTTTCTCAACCTTGGCAACTTTAAGAGGTATGGACTTCAACCAGGGAATTCTAGGGGCTGAAGTCCACACATGCTGCAGCTTATAGAAGTGCCACCCAGCATCTGGAGGTCTCCTGGTCAAGGAAGGCTTTGCTAAGAGGTAAAAGTTGGCTTGTTCTGTTCAGATGTATTTTGTGTTGTACAATTCCTTCCCCTTTTTCTGTTCCAAACCTGAGCTATCAGATTTTTCAAATTTTCAGATTACTTTTTGGCAATCCTTGAGTCCGGATGCAAGACGGATGACCATGGTTTGATTCTGGAGAAACCAGGGCTCTCCTGTGCTGTGGTAACTCAACATAAAGGAGTCAGATTCCCATATTTCTACCAAAAGCAGCACTCCGCAGAGCTAACAGAAACAAAAACAGCATAATTTTAATAAAACAAACAAATAAAGGCAAAAATGCAATTAGCTACAGATTTCTGCACAGAGGACCATCTGCCCATAAGTGCCTTCAAAGCTCACTTTATCATGTAATAACATAATAAATCATATTCCATTATACACTCAATTCTGCAGCCCGAAGCTTCATTTTTATTATTCCATCTTGATCGAGCGTTAGTCCATTACTATTATATCTACTATTACATGTATTTATTATTCCTCTTAATCTCAGTTACACTAGAGACATTTTCTCCCATATGAATATGGATCTGACACTCATTATCTGGATTCTGAATCAAAGAATAAAGGAACCAATTTTTCACTGACAAGGAAAGGGGAAGTGTGGGGGGGGTCAAACCTGGACTTGAAAGCTCTGCCCCTTCAATGTTTACTCTCCCGTTAGGCTCGCGTGGCACACGAAGTGCAGAAGTTTGGTTTAACGAGCCGTTTTATCCCCCATCATGTCAGCCCCGGGAGTCGGCCTGCCACAGCGCTGAACCTGAAATGGCCAGGATTTAGGAGCAGCGATTTGGGAAGCTGAGTTTTGTTCCCAAGGTTGATTGCAGACAACAAGCCCAGGATTCCCAAACAGCCCTAAAGCTTTCTTAGTTTAGCTTTGCTTCCCGTGCTGTGAGTACACAACCGTCGTTAAGCAGGAGGAGTGGCCACGAAAACGTTCCAAGGCCAGACGCGCTTGCAGCAACAGGCCATTTGTTTCACAAAACGTCCCCCTGCAACCACGTGGGCCAGGGCGGTCTTCGTGGGCGCCTTCTCCCTCGCCTTCTGCTTCCCAGCTATCACATCTTCATCGATATCTGCAGACGGGAGCGGCAACCCACGATCCCTTTAAAGCCTCGCTTTTTCAGCCCGGTGCCATGCCGGTGAGCTGCCCGGCGGGAGACGGGGCAGCTGCGCCCTCCTGGGAAGAAAGATGGGGACTTAGCTCCTCTTGCTGTTTCTGGACGTGCCAACGGATTCCTCTCAATCCTTTTGTGAAGGATCCCACATCTAACAACCTGCGATTGGCACCGGGCCCTGTTTTAGCCAGGGGTGTGAATACACTGCCCGAGCAGCTCCAGCCTGGTTAGAAAGAATTGGAGGAAACCAGCTTGCAGAAGAAAGCAACATGTTCTGGTTTGGACTGCGTCCAACAGCAGTCTCAATTTGCAGTCTTTCTGGCTTAATGGGCTTGGGGAGGAAAACCAGCATAGTCTGGCTTCACCCACCCACCCCCAGCCCTTGTCAGGAAAGCTCATAAGGAACCCCAAAACTTCTAATAAGTAACATTTATTGAAGGGCGTTAGGCTGTCGCTTGTGCTGCATTTCAAGAAAAGCCCTATACGTAGAAACAGGATTCAAAACCTCTTACGTATCTTTCTCCCCTGCTCCCCCCGCCCCCAGCAAACAGACTATTTGGTTTCCACGTTATTGTGTTGCGTGAGAACAAGATCTCACAAGTACGTTCAAGCTGTAGAATACAAACATGGATCACTGGAAGAGAATAGCTCGTTTTACATCTGTTGTTTTGGACATTCACACAACCTGCCAAGCCCAGAAGTCTGGAAAACTAGTGTACAGTACGCATATCAGAGTCTTAATCTCTTTCCAGTGTATATTGCCCTTTTCCCAATCTTATCCTTAAGGCAGTGTTTCTCAACCTTGGGGACTTCATGGCTGGCTGGGGATCTCTGGGAGTTGAAGTCCACGCATCTTAAAGTCCCCAAGGTTGAGAAACACTGCCTTATGGTTTTCATGGGAAGAGCCTGCAGAAGCCACTATTTTGTATAACCTGATTTTGTAACCTATGGTAAACCTCGGTTGCAAATCTGAGTCTAGGAAACTAAAATGTCAGCTTTTCTTTCCGATAATAATGGGATGCGTGTTTGTTAACTAAATAAATATTTTGACTTACCGAGTTGTGCAAACACAGCCAGGGCTTGGGCTCACATAACCTGCTAGAACCACAACCTCGCGAATCACATTTAGGTTGCCCTTGTGATCGGTAAGCTGAGAGTGCGCATTTCCCAGGGCAGCGTTTCTCAATCTTGGCAACTTTAAGACCTGTGGTCTTTAAGATCGTAAAGTTGCCAAGGTTGAGCAACGCTGTCCCAGGGCAACGATGACAGTTTTGCCAACGAGCAAGAACTCTCTGCTTCAAAGCCACAAAGCACAGAGCAGGAAGTCCACAGACACCAGGGCGAAGCAGGAATGAAACGGGTTTAAACATCTGTGGGCATATGAGGGAATTATGCCCTCCCTCTGACACAGGGTGATCCTACGGCTTCCCTCTCGTTTACAAGACAGACGCTTCTCTAGATGGCCCGGCTGAGGGTCTGAGCAGCTCCTGCCAAGTTTAACGCTGGCTGCCCAGTTAAGCCAGGCAAAACTGGGGGTCTGTGATTGACCGATGAGTCTTGGTCCAGGCGGCCCGACAGCCACGTTGTGTGAACTCACCCCACGATGTTAGTGTGCGGTTCAGTGCGCGGTGCCAGGAAACAGGGTAGGCTTGTCAGCCCACAGGCCAGCCGGTTCTGAGTCATGAACCTTCTCATCCACTAATGGGGGGGGGGTTGCTAAGGCAGAGGGCACATGCCTGCTCCTCCTGGCCCCTGGATCCCTGCCCCCTCGCTTTCTAAGCATTCTCAAGAGAAGCTCATATTCTCATCTCGAGCATCTTGGCTTCATCGCCAGAATCCCTGCAAGCTGTTGTCCTGGTTTCTCGCACCTGGACCCGAGGCGTTCTCTCTGGGTCACTCAGACCCTTGGTACGTTTTTGGCCAGGGGCTATCCCAACTGGGTCTGCGGCTGTGATTTTCTTGTGCTTCTACTGCCTCCTTGTGTTGAGAGGACAAACCGCACCTTGTGCAGAGTCCCTGGCTGGGAACGAAGCAAACCGACCAAGATGCAATCTTGAGGGAACTCCGGCACTGAAAGGATTTTTGCAGGGGCAATCCACCGCGCAGAACACAACCCTGCTTTGTTAAAAGCAACGCATAAACCTTAGTTTAGCATTTATCAACAAAATGAAGCTTTCGCCTCACAACTAACTCCCAGAGAACATTTTACCAGCTAAATGTCCATCTCGTTTGGCGGTCCTTGAACCTAGATTCAGTTAGATTGCCTTTTCTTCTCTGATTTCCGCCTCCGATTCTTTCTTGCTTTTTTCCCATCCTTTGTGTAAAGCTGCTGATCTGGCAAGTGTGCAGGAAGGGTCTGGCTGGCTCTTCGGTAAGAAAGTTGTCGCTCCTTGCAAACATCAGAGCTGATGAAAAGTTGGCCAGGAAAATGTAATTATGTCTCCCCCTGGACCTGCACAAAGAGGATCGGACAGCAGGTGAGGTGCCCAAAGACAGACACTGATAGTTCTGCAACCATCCGATTCCTCATTTCTGATCCGTTTTAAAGGACAAATAGAAGTGGAGGTGGAGAAGCAAGGATGGTTGTAGAGATACAAAGGTAGGGAGAGGTGCAAGGATAGACATCAGAGTTAGCTACACTTCCTCTTTCTTATCTCATGCCTTAATTTCTTTCACTTCCTACTTCTTTCTTCTTTTCTGCCCTCTGCATAATGTTGCTTAAAGCAAAAAGGAAGACTGTGAGGTACGTACGCATCTCTATTTTCCATAAAGGAATTTCAGGCAGCTTCCTGGGGGAATCAGAAAATCCCGGGATATTTTCTGCTGATCCAGTCACACCAATATTCACATTTCATGAAGTATCCATCTGTATTTCCTCCCCTTGCTTTTTTAGTTTCATTTCCCCAAAATTCTACATAACATTTCCCACCTTCACTGCCTCATCCATCTACCCCGAAAACATTGGTTTACAATTATCCCCGGACCTTTTGCACAAATTATCTCAGACACCGAAGGCCTGAGTGACAAATGATGTATTATTTCTCCCTCCAGGCACAATATTTCTTATTTCTGGGGGACAAGGCAGCTACGTTTCATCCATTATCTTAGCCCAGTTCCTGGCTGAGCTTTCTCTGGAAGGGAAGATCATCGTTTTGTTTGACCTTCTGTTTTGAGTGTTTTTGAGTGTTGAGTATTATTGTTTTGTGCTGGAAAGCACATTTCTCTGCCTTCCTTTTTAGGGGGGGGGTGTGTGTTAAGCTTTGTCTCTTGGAGAACAATGCATTTTGAATAGGTTATTTAAACTACAAGGATAATATTCTGCCTTGATAAACAGCATTCACCCCCCCTTTAAAGAAGAGCTATTGCGCTGTTCTGAACAAGGCCTGGTTTTTATTTTTATTGATAAAGGAATTATTTGGGCAACACTGATAGCCCAGCTGAAGAAATGATCCTGCCTGAATAACAAAGACAGATTCATGGCTCAAAAGAGATGAGGTAAAGTGATAGTATTTACATCGCGCTCTGATGTAAACTGCTTAAAGTAAGAAGCTGATGGGGACTTAAAAAATAGCAAAGTAAAAAATAGTAAAGTAAAAATTCCCTCGGGGAGGATTTTTTTAAACTCTTCCCCAAAGGATCCACAGTCCATGCAAAGGTAATAATCAGATGCTGCCTGTACAGAGGAGACAAAATAATTTCCAGTTCCATTTTAAATCTTAATTCACAAGTTTATGCACAGACATTCTGCCTCAATGTAGATCATCCTTGGATGCAGCGTGGAGCGTGTAACAATGGAAATACTTCTTACATTTCAGAATAGTACACCTGGATTCACAAATTACATATTCCTGAACCAAAGTTTGTGGTACAAGCCACAGTTTGCTGGCTTCAAATACGGCTCTAAGTCATAACTCATGGATATCGCTCTCTAGGCATCCTTGATGATACCATGATGATGTCACAACCATTATGACATCATCTCACAAATGATAAGTTATAGAATTTGCATGTCGCAACTAATGCAAATTACACCGTTCACACCATTCGCACAATGATGTCACAAAGGGCAATGTCACTGTGGTGTGCATTTTTTACCCCCACCACACGCCTCCAACCATCATAACACCCATGAACCACGCTGAATGTGCAGAAATGAAATATTTCATAGCGTCACACTGTCCTATGCTACTTCTACACTCCACTCCTACTTCAATTTTCTGGCCATCTTGCATCTCTAGCTAGTGGTCTTGGTGGGCTGTCTGAGGTTGATTACTGGGGGTATCTATGGGGTACGGTCAAAAGAGTCAAGATGGTGGCCCCAACACTTCAGTCAAAGCTCCACCTGTTTTTTAGTGGGCTGCCTATGAGACCCACATAAAAAATGGGTAGGGCTTCCATGGCACTGCCCTGGTTGCCATCTTGACTTTTTTGACATACCTTGTGGGCTCCCTCGTGGGTTACAGATGCCTGCGTCTGAAAAGGACTGTTGCTGTTGGCCCAGCTACCTTTCTGGAACTGCAAAGAGCTAGGAGAAGAGATTTAGTTACTGTATTGTTTAATAATTAAGCTTCCACCCTATCACAATCAAACAACTCTTGGCGTATAAGCTAGGTCAATGTTTCTCAACCTTGGCAGCTTGAAGACGGTTGGACTTCAATTCCCAGAATTCCCCAGCCAGCCAAACTGGCCGGGGAAATCTTGGGGTGGGAGTGCACAAATCCTAATGATGGAAAGGGTGAGAAACCC